TTATTCTATACCCAACCGTAACAGGGCACTATTGATTCAGGCGGCTTCCGAACTCTTGTATTGAACCGAAATCGCTCAACGATCTCGGGTGGCTTATGGCTGTAATGTTCGTTTAGCACGTTTACTATATCTCGGTACGATTTGGTTTCAGTAGTGGATGAGGCAAGCAAACTCCGTACAAGCTTGTAAACAACAGAGCCTGCTAAGGTCAGAAAAATTGACTTCTTTTTCTCCTATTTTATGTCGTTGGCATCGAAAGATATTTCTACTAGTTCAACATATTGCGCCCAGGATTCCAAAGCAGGATCGAAAGCATTCATGCGCCCGTAAAGGGCCATTCTGAATTTTCCTCGTCGCCAATGTTGTAATTGCTTGTAATTAAACCTTTGTAAAGGATCAAATACAACTTTATTTTTATTTAATAAGATAACAGCGTGCGTACATGCATGGCTGCATGCTTACAGGAAACAACAACAAAAACCCCGAACACGGTTACAGTGCTCCGGTCATAGTGGAAGTAGAAGTTGCAGGATATGACACGAACATTAGTCCAACGCCCTACCGACCAGGATATCCCAGCCTTTTCCTGATATTTTAGAACATTTTTTGCAAACATTCATTTTTGATTAATTTCACTTTGATTGCGGAATTCTCTCGAGGAGAAATAAAATCGCAGGATAGCCTGCACACGATAGTTTAACTTTTAAATACAGATACGCCACGGCGTGCATACCGGAAATTACTGTATAAAAACTATGTTTTTTCACGTGAGCTAAAAGGGAGAAAGTAATTCGATTTGTGTCACCTCTTTAAAGTAAAGTGTAAGGCGCATCACTTTCAAAATCCATGATAGTAGTTTAATACGAAAGTTCTGTGTCCCTACACTTAACGTTTTAGGTGTGACAAAAGTTTAATAATTTTCTTCTTTATAATTCACTTGAACAATTTAGTTTTTAAAATTTTTATTTTATTTTTAAATTTGGTGTCTGTTAATTTTTTATTTAAAAAAGTATTAGACATTTCGATAGGCAATAAAAAGGAGATAAATTTCGCTGGCAACAATTTAGGAAAAAATTGTAATTTTTGTTGTTAAGAGGCTCCAGTTAAAATTTGAGCACCCTAATTACTTAAAACGTGGTTGAAATTTTGATTGGTTATAAATTCCTATAAAATGATGATAAAATTTACATGTAATAGTCAGAAAACGATGGAACGAAGGATGAAACTGATGCGTTTTTATGCCATTAAATGCACACAAATGGGTGAAACTTATATATTTTTATATCATTAAATGCACGTATATATTTCATAATATCTAGCATGGGGAATTTTAGTATCAAAACTCTCTGATTTTGGGACTAATGTCAAAATGTTAACGAAGATAGTTTCTTTTACTCAATTTGATCAAAACACCCAAAATTAATACTTTACCTCTTTACTGTTGTAAGATGCACATGGGGGAGAGTCGGGTAGCCCCGCCCACTTAAGGAGTATTGCTTATATTTCTGTATAATATTGAGTAATAATCAATATTTTTTTATGTTTCTATTGTTTTATCATCTAATTGAATAATGCAAAAAGAATAAACCAAAAAAAGAATAGTTTAACTTAAAAAAATAGAAATTTAAAAAAACATGTTTTTCAGCTCTTTTCAAAATTTTTGTAACTAGCCCCGCCCAGTTACAGAAATTATGTTTTTTGACTGTTTTTTCAGGTGTAAATGAAAATGACCAATGTATTGACAATAAATAAACCTCATTTATCATTTTTATCACAAAATTATTTTATTTATTACATATTTATATACTTTTAGTGAATTCTATCATTTAATAACAATCATTTAATAACAACAATATTTGTTGTTAAAAATGCATATAACATTCAAATTTGAAGCAATAAAATAATATCTTTGCAACCGTACAGTTATCGACTAAATAAAATTGGGCGGTGATACCCGACATTCATGTGAGCGGGGCTACCCAAAATCCAATTTTTTTTGTAAATTTGTAATTACTCGAACAATTTTTCACATATAAACTTCTTTCTTTGTGCAAATTAAACTTAAGACTACATACTTTAATGCTGTTTGTATAGAAAAAATAATTTTTTTAGTATTAAAATGAAGTTTAATCGAAACATTCAACTAATTTTTCTTAATTTCATGACTACTGTATTCAACATATTTTCAAAACTATTGTTTACCATGTTAACAGCTGCATAAATACTTGAAACTTCAAAAATAATCTTTTTTTAATATAACAATTAATGTCCGATGGCCCATTGACTTGAAAAAATATTCCATATATATGAAATTGACAGTGGTCGGGGCTACCCAACTCTCCCCTATAAGGCTTACATAAAAAGTTAATTACATATATTTGTTGTAATTTATTTCTATTTTAGTCACTTTACTAACACTAGTTCATATTTGAGCTTTCTTATGGAGAGCTTTAAAGTTTTTAAATGTTTTGTATTGTTTAAAATATTAAGGTTTCTATCGAACAGAATCAGAAGGGAAACAAAATTCGTACTTGATAATTTTCCAAAAAAAAAAACTTTTTTTTTTAATTTTAAAAAATGAAGAAAGGGTATTACAAGTTATTTCGAGAAACTTTAAAATTATAAAAAATTCTAGTGGACTCTAATAAAATACTTCATAAAATATATATTTTGAAGACGATTTTTTTATTTTTATCTTAGTTTGCTACTATTTATATTAAACCCCTTATTTAGGTTTTCTTAAAATGCTGACTTTCCAGTGTTGTATTTTGAATATTTAATTTTTATTTGATTCTTTTATTTTAGCATATAAAGTTCGTTAGAGCTAATGGATTGGATAAAATTGATGAAAACTTTAAACCTAAAGAGGTGAGAAAGATGCATTATGTACTAGTTGTATGTCGTTAGCCAAATTTTTAGACATAAACACCTTTACATTTGTTAACTGTTTTTTTTCTATTCAAATTTTAAGGTTAAAGAGAAAAAAATGTGTGTATACAAACCAAATACGGAGAGTTCACTTCCTTTTATATTTTTTTAGAGTTCTTGTCACATTAAAAAATGATTTGTCGCTTGTTACATAAGAAAAGTTTATCCATTAAGGGTCACACATTATAACGTAAGTAATGAAGAAACAAATATGTTATTGCAATTTTCAAAATTACTTTGAAAGAAAATGCGATGAAAGACGTCAAAATTAGTTTTATTGCTTGCTATTTTGAATAATTCTGTTTCAAATACTTTCTGTTTACGTCAGCAATCAAACAGGTTTTGATGCATTCAATTGCACATATCTCAGCAGGGATTCCTTAGATTTCAATAGCATTTTTATTTATTTATTTTTTTTTTTTGCACTAAAACTCTAATTTTTGACCCCTAAAGTGCATGCTTTTTTTAATTTAATTTTGGCAAGAATTTTTAAAAATGTTCATCAAGGGCGACTATTATGAAACACCCTTAATACATAAAATAAACAAAATAAAAAAGCAAAAGAAATTAGAAAGAAAGAAAAATATTAAGAAGAAGCAACGCGAACCTATAAATTTTACTGTTTCCAAACCTATTTTCCCTAACTATACACTTCTTTCCTAACTGCCTGATGTACTTGGCGACGTATTCATCTGCAATTATAGTTTCATGTGGTAGGTTCTCTTCTCCGCTTTAAAAAAAAAGTTTCAGATAACTCCTTATTGCTATTGTTTCAATAGCCTCTGAGAAACATCAGGTTGAATTTAATTCAAATACTGAACCACGCTCTTCTATATTGTAAATCAAAAACATTGAAATATGTGTATTTAGAGATTTCTATAGAAAGAATGCAGATTTTAAAAAGATACATTGCTGTTGAATACATAATTAAATATTTATAATAATTAAGTATTAAGAGATTTCTATAGAAAAAATGCAGGTTCTAAAAAGATACATTGCTGTTGAATACATAATTGAATATTTATATCAGTTTAATAAGTCTATTAGAATATTCTTATATATTTCCTTGCCTGATTTTTGTAAATCAAATTTTAATTGCAATCAAAATCTAATACATTAACAAAAAAGGTGTCTTGATTTGTTATAAAACATTTATTCATTGAAATTTGAGTTCTAAATTCAATTTTGAAATGTTTTAAAAAGAAATTTTAAATTACGTTGTTTTCCTATTAAATTAATATTTATGAAAAAAAAATTTTAAGTACTTTTTTTGGTTGCGCTATTTTCCTGATTTAGGTCTGGTGAATAAAAAAACTCTTTTCAAAAACTAACAGATTATTGACGTTCAGATAGAAAACTACTATTGTTAAATTTTTATTTTTTAAATTTGTTTTTTAAAATATACTTAATCTTGTTTGTAATTGTAGAAGCTATCCTTTTTACAAATTAAACTTTTTATGTATTTATTTTTAACTTAGTAGTATTTGTGCTGCATAGATAATTATATTTGTTTTCTAGTTTTATTACAAACAATGCGCGATTACTTATAACACAACATTTTTATATTGAATTATGAAATAATTAATCTAAATAGCGTATCTTGGGAATGTAAATTGAATGTAAATTGAGAATGTATGATCATAAAAGCTTTTTTTATTTTTTTATTTCATCAGTTTGTTTGGTATTTGTTTAACTCAGTGATTTGCATACTTTTCTAGTTTTGATATTTCGCTTTCTACATACCTCTTATAACAATTTTCAAAAGGAACTCATTAAAACAGAATTTTTTTTTTTATTAATTAAAGAGTTCGGTAAAAAACAAACAAAATAAATAATTGAGATTACAAAATTTAAGATTTTTTTAATGAAATAATTCAGTCTAATGTATACAGGTAAACAAAGTACCCTTGATTATTACTTAATTTATTGTTTATTATTTTATTATGAGTACAGATGAAATCTTGAAATAGCACTTTACAGTGTCTCTTTGATTGCGAGACAGGAAAGAGCAAAATTTTTATAGTTAGGTTATTTTTTGATTTTGAATTAAAAATTCTAACAAGTTCATACTAGTTTTTATACATATATTAGAATAATAGTAAAATTTTAGTTTACCTTCAGTTTTTTATAAAAATAGTTACAAGTTAAAAAGGCATTTATAATTTTTTTTATAAATTTTTTTATTAATTTTTTTATTTATTTTTATTATTTTTTTATTAATTAACTTAATAGCACTTTTACTATTAACTGATTTTTAATAAGCATAACAAAGTTTGATGGTGTTTGTGGATCAGTTTAAATTTGATTTCAGCATAAACAAATTAAAAGGTTAACTTTTTTTTAAATTTTTAATATTACTTACTACATCTGACCCTACTGAGCTATTCTTTTCACATATCATATGAAAAATTTATTTTAGGACTCTATGTAATTTCAGTAGTTATAATTACTTCTTTAGCTGATTAATTTCAATGCAGTGGCATGAAAATTACTCCCTTGAAAATAGTGGTAGCATATTTCTATTTAAATTGACTCTATATATCTTATTACATACTATTTTATTTAAAAAAATTAATGGAAAAGTTTTTGAATTAAAAAAAATCTCTAACCGTTAAGATTAGGATTGCTTGTTAGTACTCAAAAATCCAATCATTAGATCAAAAGTTATTGAGGTGAACTGCTTTTTATTTTCCTTCTTAGACCAATATTTACATTACCTAGCTACTACATAATGTATGCATGTATACATAAAAATAAAAAAATAAGAAATTTTACCCCCTTATTAACTTTTAATCTAAAGATCGTATTTTCAAACAACAAAGTTTCAATTTAATTGGTTTGAAGGGCCCCTTAAATATTTCAATTATTAGTGTGGACCTCAATTTGTAAATCTCAAGTTCAAAATTAATTTAATTGATTTTTATTTAAAAATGCTCAATGGATACACTTCCGGTGGAAAATTTCGAAAACATTTGTTTTATTATTCTCATATAGTCTTGTCAAATCGATAAATTTTTCTTTAAAATTACAAGTTGCATCTCATGTAGAGAGAAAAGGTATGTTTTAAATTGACACATTTCAAATAAGTTTTAGCAATTTTTAAATAGCATTATATTAATTTTAATAATAGCATATTTTGCATTCTCGAACACCATCAATTTTTTTGTTCGATTTACTTAAAAATTTATCATTATGCATACAACTAATGTAATTTTTGTTGCACATAGGCATTTTTCATGACGTTTATAGTTTTTTATCATTTAAGTCTTTAACTCTAATTTTTAAGATATTTTTTGTTCAGTTTATTACCATTTTGTTAAAAAAATCTTTCCATCACCACAAGTTTTATCAATAGCTGTTAAATTATATTTTCAAAGTAAAACTTTATCAATCATACAAGCATTTAGTTCCACTATTTTGTTAAGTACGTTAAATTTAATTCAAAATTCGTAAAATAATGTAAAAATAAACATGTTTTAATATGATGTGATTAATAAATTTACTTGTTATTGTTATTTTAAAGTCGCCCAGAATATCTTATGTCAAAAAATCTGGTTCCAAAAATAGTAGGAAAAACAAATTTTATCTTCTCGCAATATTTTTTATTGCATTTTTTAACTTATATTTTTATTTATAGAATAAGGTTATTTTTGAGAATTATTAAAAATAGAATAAAAATTCGTAAAACATGTATTGAACCAACATTTTCCCCGAACAATAAACTGAATACTGATAAGGAAATTCTACCAATGTAACATAAAATCTTGATATTGAACAAAACTTTTTTTATAGTGTACCGAGCACAGGAGTTCGTGTTGATTGGAGATGAATCAAACAGTCCTTAAGACTCCAAAAATTTATTAACAGAAACTTCTAGAAAATACAGCTATTTCCAGCATTCTATTACAGCTCAAATAACAGCTTAGTTCACGGGCTTCAAAACCTCAGACGGTGCAATGAACTTACTGGAGACTAGCAAATCAGAACTCTATTGCAATCATAGACAAATAAAATACTACTCTCCCTCTACGATGCACACTCTTATTAGGCGTGGTGATGATCCCGAAAATTTCGTATAACTCCGTAAATATTATTCCTATCACTTCAAAACTCAAGTTTTCCAGAACTATCATTTTATTGCCAAATTGCTCGCCAAGTCGGCAGAAATATCGCCAAATCCAGTCTTCCATAAATAATGCATTTTATCTCTATTGCAGATTTTTTTAAATAAACTGTTTATTTAGGGTTTGTCTGAGATATTTAGCCTCATAACAAGAAAAGATTTACAAAATTATACACATATTTAGATATTCGTAACGATAGATTTTGAAGCAAGGAATACGAAAGGTTTATTTATTTTTAAACCACTTAAATGATTCCTGTGTAATTCCTGAAAAACATTCATACACCAAAAAAACAGGATTGCCGTTTCATGATTTCCCAGTGTCAGAATTGGAAAACAGGTTCAAAACTGATGGCAAATATAATTTTTTCAAAAATTTTGATTGCAGTTTAGTTATTTTTCAATTTTGCTACATTTTCTTAAGTACTTAAACAAAATGAAATTAAACTTCATTATACTTTTTTATTTTATCAAAACACCTAATACAATTTTTATTAATAATAAAGAAAAACATGAGTTGCGTGATATAGACTAAGTAATTGAGACTCATTTAATTAAAACCTTGGTAATTCCATGGTAGAACAATTGTAGCTATTCATTAATTAGGCACCCTTAAACCCGACATATTTCGAGTTCCTTGAATAAAGTCAGAGAACCAACCGATATTGAACAAGGATAAAAAATTGCAAAAATTAAACTTCTGGTTGACGCATAATTTGAACCTAACCTCTTAAATCATAGATGCAATGGAAATGGTGCAAATGATAATCACAACAGTTGCAATCCTTTTCCTGCTGTTATGCAATATAAAACCTTTTTTTTTTTCGTCAGAATAACTTAAAGTCCGTTCAGTTGGTCTAAAAATAAATATATTCATATTCAGTATCAAAATACAAAATTTAAAGTTTTAATATCAAGAATTTAAGTTGCACTGGATGGTGTTTTCTACACTAGGGTGCACTGCAAGCTCTTTACTGCCTATATTTCCGAGTTATTGTTTCTGGTGTATTTTGAAGCCATTTTGCTCACAACTTGATCATGTGTTTTGAGACTCTCTTGAGTAGTATTTTTTGTATTCGTGTATTTGTTACCTGATCTATTATTTGTGTTTAAGAAAGAATCGTTATAAGACTTGTTATTTGAATACCTGTCATTTCAAGAAGTAAGAATCATCATTTGAAAAAAAGAATCGTTATAAAACACTTCATACCTTGTCAACAATGAACTAACTGCGAAATTTAAACCTAAATGATAATTTGTAAAATGAACTTAATCTCGCTGCTCGAACAATATGCTAACATTAACGAAAGATGGTGCACGGCTCGCAACAAGAACGAACAGTAAGAAACATTAAAGGAGGCCAAATTAGGACTGCCAAAAAAGCGACTTCTTTCTTAATCATGTCACCTTTTGTAACAATACATCTATAAACAACTAAAACAGATTTTCACTTCAAACTTAACAGAATTACTTAATATCATTAAGAAATACAGCAGATTTGAGATTAGAAATTATAAAATTTATTTCTTTTATTAAAAGCAAATTTATTTGTTTGAAAATATCGCCTCGCAGAATAAGCTGTATTCTTTCTACCCAGAAGCTGTATTCTTTCTACCGGCAGGTCAAGAGCTCGAGATTCTTGTTGTTTGCTTACATTTATGTTGAAAACACCATCACTTGATGTAGTAGTATTGATCCAGATTCAGTCTCCTGTACTTGTAAGCTAACGAAAAATTAATAAATCTTCTAAGCAATGGAATCAACGAAATATTTTTAACTTTAATCAATGAAACTTAATTTCTATCAATGAAATATTCTTAACTTCTACAGGCTGCAAAATACTTTCACACAGCAAAACTTGGGTATGATAATGAAGGTTCTGTTCTGAGAATTCTTCATATAGGAGCTGCTGATTTGAGAGGTATTTTATTTTCGTAAAATATATTTTTTAAATTAAAATTTAAAACTCCTTTAATATAATTCTTCAGAGATATATATATAAATAGCACTTAGATATAGATGGCACTTAGAGTACTTTATCTATCTGACAACACTTGCCATGCTTTTAGCTTTAGTGTGTAGATAATCATAAGAGTAGGATGTGTGCTAATTTTCAAGTTTGTAAAGCTATATGAAACTTAAAACTGCATTGAACATGGTGCTTAAAGTAAGCATTGAAAACATTTTATGCTTTAATATGCAAATATACATAATTCTACTAAGTTTTATATATTAATATATTTTTGACTATCCAGAAATGAAAAATATTGACAATATATAGTGAAAAATATACATTCACGTACAACTAAACAGAAAAAGAATGAGAAAAGGGGATATTTTCAGCTTGTTCGTATTAGATAGTAAAATAGGAACATCACAATCTCATACTCACTACTTCAATTTAGGTTGGAAAAACAGGTGATCAAAACCACCACTAAATTTTGGAGTATTAGAAGCAAAACATTTTCTATGATCATTTAAATATTCTTTATTTTTCTTCTGTGTTCGAGGAAAATAAAAAATTAGTTAACAATGTAATGTTTTCTGATCTTTTTTCCTTCAGATTTTCTACACTGTTTGACTATTACTAAGATACAGTTACATTTTTCGGAGTAATTAATTATACAGAATATGTAGACGTTGACTGATTAAATAAAACTAAGTAAACATTTAGTAGAGGCAATGGACATTCATTATTATGCAAAATAGTTCAGATATCGACTTATCGAAAAATAATAAAATAAAAAATAAAAAGATACTCATTCCAAACAGCCATGAAAAATGGGCCTTCTTGCCTGAATGCAATAGAAATAAATACCTCAATAAGATGTGTGATTACCTCGGACACTAATGCACCTTTTACATCTGTTATTCATGCTGTCCACAAAACTATCGAAGAATCTTTGGGAGATATTATCCCACTCCTCTCGCAAGGATGTTTTCAGGTCTTGCATGGTCTAGAAATGACGTGTTCTTTGTGAAACACGTTTGCCAAGGATATCCTAGGATTCCGTTTCAAGGGCATCCTACTCTACAGGATTTAGGTCCGAGGAGTACACGGGCCATGGCATACGGTCAATATATTTGCTTTCTAGTGTGTTTGATATCTCAGAGCACTAGTGTGACTGCGCATTGTCGTTCATAAACAGAAAGTCTGCACCTACCACACCCCTAAAAAGGCGAACATAATCCAGAATAATCTCTCTGCAATACTGGTGTGATGTAACGCTATCTCGCTCAAAGGTGTGAAGCGGTGTTCAGCCATTGTGCATGATGTCTGCCCATATCGGCGCTCCTGTGTCATAGCAATCTCGTTCATAAACCTATTCTTGCGCACAACGTGTTCCACTCTCTCTTCACACTAACTGGTAGCCAGAATCACTTGTCATAGTGAATTGGAATTCGTCGGAAAACATCACTCTGGACCACTGCTGGTTACCCCAACCCATTCGTTCTTTACACCAACGTAATCTTTCTCTGCGATGGCGTGGTTATAGCGGGCATCGAATAGGTTTCCGTATGTTATCGTCATGAGATGGTTCTGGCTAAAATATGTGTCCCGATAGTGGTTGTAAGGTTTGCAACTATCACCCTAAGTAAGAATGACATTTCTGTTCCTTTAAGCTACTGGGGATTCATATCGTTCTTAAGTTGCGTGAATTTACCGCAGATTTCTTACTACTTCAGGAATGATAAAATTTCTATTATGTATACTTGTTGTCACAATAAAATTGTCGTCACGAGAAAAAAATAATTTCTTGGAGGACCAATTCGTTTTGTAATATTCAATACCAGTTTGTGACCTTCGTCCGACACAATGCCATGAGTGTTTTCTTCAGCCGATAAGCTATTTCTCACAGGGGATACTGATTTCTTTCAAAATAATTACTTAACTATATGTTTACTGTATATGATAATTTTTTGAAGTGCATGACAGAATTCGTTCCAAAAAGTTATATGAATAGACATAAGTATAATGTATTTTTTGCCAAATTTCTATTAATTTCTGCATATAAAAAAAAGTTAAAGCTAATCCAAGGTATAGCAATTACCCTTATTGATTGCACCCAAAACACATGCTCCCAGCAAAAATTTTAAACAAGGAATAAAAATTAATCAAGTGTATATATGTAGTTGGTCTAACCAGCTGGTCAAAGATAATTTACTCAAATTCAATGCGCGCATTCAGTGTAAAATATATTGCCTGATTCCAAATGTGGGGAAATTAAAATACAAAAAAAAGCTTGTTTTTAACTTTTCTCTGAAATTACTACAATTGTGGTAATTTTAGTATGTATGTGATTAACATTTTTATGTAAGTATTATATTTTTTAAACACCACAACAGAATCTCCATTATACCCACTGGTAGGCTTCTTCTGAAGTAGAAGAGTTGTTAAAATTACGATAAATAACTGACTTATTTTAAATGAATTATGTTCGAATTACCAAAAAAATATTTATCATTTGAGAAGAATCCAAATTGTATATTCAGTGAGTTCCAAATTTTCACGTAAGATCATAATATTTATTTACAAACTATCCTTTCAAAATAAAATTTCTAATAAGTGACGTAATAATTATAAAATCGTATTTTTAATGTAAGGATTCAGTCAGATTTTAAGAATAATAGATGTTGATTCATGACATTATGAACTTTTGTTTAAAAAAAATCTTTTTTTTTCCTTCCATTTGTGATAAAACTTTTTTTTTCCTTACCAAAGTGTAATATTACTGTAATCTATTTATTTTTAAAATTGATTTCTAGGACTGGCGCAGTCACTTACTAAAGTCGATGCATTCAGCTATGCAACATTCCTTATTTTATCTGATATTAGAGAACAAAAGCGAGACCGTGAAGGTGTAAGTGTTGGAAAATTTAATTCATCTACTTTTGCCATATTAATTCATCTACTTGCCATATTGTTTTTAAAACTCTTTGAAATAAGCATTTTATTTTAAATATTATTTTCTAGAAATCCCTTTGTGACAAACAAGTATATATATTTGATCTCAAAGGTTTGAGCTGGTCAGCTATTATACACAGAGCAGGTAAAACTTTTGCAGTTTGCATCACTAAATTTAAGAATAAATATATATATATTAATTTCAGTGTTTTCTACATCATAAACCAGAAAAACTTTGTTAGTCTTTGTAAAATATGACTCTATGCATCCTAAAAAGTTTCTGAATGAAATAATAAAAATACTAATGTAATGTTACCTGTAGAAATTGTTTTGTTCAGAACTTTGTGCTAAAAATCTTTATTTTGAAATCTGTCGTAGCTGTTCCTTGGATAGCTAAACCTAAGCTATCAAATATACCCATTGCAACACTTTAAAAATTGAACACTCTATTATCAGGAAACTATTTTTGATGAAAACGTTTCCTGGTACATGCTCCGAGCGAACATTTCTTCAAAATTGCGAAATAACAATCATCACTTCTTCGAGGAAACAAATTTCGTCGAAAGAAAATAATCATTTCGTCATTTAGTTTCGATCATCTAGTCTTCATTTTAGTTTCGTCATTCTAGTTAACAATTACCCACAATGCAAAGCGATGAAGCTCCGAGTAGAGGAAACATTTTCGTCATATATTTGAGAGTTCGCGTTTCGTCATAAATCATCGAAATGATTTGAATCGAAATGATTTCGTGACGAAATGATTCTCAAAATTAACGAAATGCTGTTCAAGAATTGCTATATCATCGAAAGAGAGCGTTTTATTTCTGAGAGTGCATAAAAATAGTTGTTAGAAGGAAACTAAATTTTACATAAGCAAGTACAACGTTGATATAAGTAAAAGATTAAAGAATGAAAGCAAAATGATCATTTACTGCCGAAAAATACAAATGAGTGGAGATTTCAATACTCTCGTGGGCCACCTCTGCGAATGCAGGTTGCGATACGGTCGGGCTATTTACTATTATCCATGTAATGGATGTTCATTATACAGGTTGCGAGACAATTGTGTCGCTGTAGCGGATCTATACGTTTTAGCTAGATGTCGCAAATAACGGTGTTGAGCAGGCGTTGCTGCTCTTTTGTGGCTTTAACCATAGTTTGTGAGGCTTTAACCATAGTCTTTGAACCACAGAGTGAACACCGCATTTCTCGAAACCCCCCACAACAGGTTGTCTATTATTGGCCCTTCCAATTATCCGTCATCTTATGGTATCATCTAGACGATGACACTGACTATACAAACGATGGATAAACAAAGAAATTCAAAAAACTAGAATTGGGTTCATGTATGTTTCAAAACGTCAATACGCTACAAGTACCTCTCCATACGATATAAATCAGGTACCTCTACACAAAGATGATCACAACGCCACTGCTTTACGACGTCATAGGCCACTGCGTGACAGAGTTGTCCACGAAAAGCTTAGCTGATACCTTAGAGACGTATAAGCGTTGCCTATTTCGTTCTTTTTTCTTCTTTTTTTTTAAATGCCTTTCTTTCCTTTAATTGTTTTCATTAGTGTATAGTGTGCATTGAAAGAGCCAAATATAGTTGTTTTATATTTTTAATTTTATTGGCATGACATGGTGCGAAGCATTTTTAAAAAGCGCTTAAAGGTGTTTATTTTCGATATTCGTTTTTTAAAAGCCTTTAAAGGTGATTTTTTAATTGGGTGTTTTTAAAAAATGCTTAAATTTCCCTTTTTGAAAAGGAGATTTTTTTTTCTTTACCGTGTAGATTTTCGGCACGTATTATGCAAAAGCGTGCTTTTCACATTGTTCTATTCAACGTTTTCACAATTCATTAAACCTTAATCTATTTCGGCTTTCCATCTATCCATAGCGTATGAAAGCGCCAATCATTTTACATGAAATACTTGCGAGTTCGCATGTGTGTCTACTGAGCTGGGTTCGATGAGATTATTGCACTCCCATTTGCAACTTTGCTGCATTTTGCAAGATATTCTGAAATTCAGGCTTCATTTTACACCCTCTGATATCGAACCGAAAAATCTCTCTATCATTTTATAATGGCTAATATAATCAAGAAAAGAGTTCTTTCTCAGAAACTAGTTATTTTATCATGATCATGTAAAGTCTTTGAGAATTATTTTGCATTTTGTTAATGTATATATTGCTTAAAAATATATTTTGAGTTTTTAAAAAGTACGTAAAAGGTGCTTATTTTTTGTTGAGAGATTTAGCTATGCACCCTGCATGAGTTATGTTCAATTAAAAATTATGATTTTTAGTTTTGTTTCAACTTGACTAATTTGAACACATAGAAAGAAAAACAGAAAAATTTACAGAAATAAATAGAAAAAGTCCTCTTAATTGATAACATTAAAAAAAAAAATTAATAATTTTGAGACTTTTAAATATTCGAGCCTTAAGTTTCAAACACTTTAAATTGAAAACACAAAACAATACTTTTAATTTAGTTTTAATCAGTGCTGCAGTGGCAAATTAGGTGAAGAAATGCTAAAAATTCCAACATTTTATTTACACTTTTTTATTTAAAATTATTGTGTACAAATGTTATAGAAACTTTTGTTTCTAATTGTATTTACAATGAAATTCTTTAAATCATAAAAATGTTTAAAATTCTTTTGAATTTATGCCGTTATCTGAGACAGAAAAACGTGAGTGATAATGTGGATTCCTTGGTGGATGGATTTAGTTTTTCATGTCAAATATGCATGCAGTGTTGCAGCAGCAAAAAATAATATTGCTCACAGAATTTTTTCTTTTTAATCAACTCTAAAAGCACAAAAATTTTAATACGCATAAAAAATACAGAAAAAATCACATTTTACCCCGATGAAGTGACGCGGATTTGAATCCTGGCCATAACGGGTCGATACGAATTCCGCACCCGGCTCGTACCGACCTCAGTGCTGACGTAAAGTATCCCCAGTAGTAGACGGGTCATAGGTTAGAGTCCCCTTGCCGTCAGGTTAACCGTGGAAGGTTTTTGTCTCTATGTAACGCAAATGCTTGTTAATTCCATCAAGAAGTCCTCCACGATAGCAAATTCCTCCCAATATTTGATTCCTTGTCATCTTGATTGGATTCAAAATTGCAAAGCTGCGGAGTTGAACACTTGGTAGTCGCAAATTCAAAATTGGGTCGGCCTGTTCCACGACTGATATTAAATAAAATAGGTTAAAAAAATTTACAATTAACATAAAAAATGCAAAATTATCAAAAAATATTTGATTTTTTTTTTTTTTTTAAGTACTTGGGTTAAGCCGTGCATACACATACTTTTTAATACAACAATAGTTTCAATTTGACGTAATATTTAATCACAAAAAAATAGAAAATAAAATCAAAAGCATTTACAGCAATAAATTGCGCTAATTATGAAATTTAACAATTTCATTATAAAAAACTTATGTAACAAAGTAATCAAAGATATTCTTATAAAAATGATATTAGCTGATACTGTTTATCTTTAAAAAAATTTCACGAGAAATTTCGTATAAATTTATAATTTTTATATAAACAATGAAAAATTATTATTTAAAAAAGAAAAAAAAAACGTTTACTAATTAACATTATACACCCTGGAAAGTAAGAAACTGAGGTGCTGCATTATTAACCTTATAAAAACGAAAATCAATGCTAATTGTTCATTTAATTCAAATGAGAATTTTTTATACTCTCATAGTGGAGCATAATTTCATGATTTTTCTTACTCTTTAAAACATTTTAAACAAAATGGTGATGAAACAATTTTAAATTTTTATTTAGAAAACTGAAAATTTATCTGTATATATGTATTATTTGATGATAAAGTAAATTAATTACCTAGTTAAAAGTGGAAAAACCTTAAACCTTGAGTTAACGTTTACTTCAAAATCATATTTACGAAAATTGATACTTTTTAAAGAAGAAAATATCTATAATATAATTATATGCAGCAGCATTTTATTTAGAGGCCTTTAAGGAATATTTTAAGAAACAAACATTTGATAATCATACGTTTTCGATCTTAATTAACAGAGTTGGCAAAATTCATTTTTTTTTTTAAATATTAAACAAATCTATTTTATTTAATTTAAATCAGACTATTTTGGATTAAATCGGATTTTTTTCTTATTCACTAGCCAAATCATCTAATAAAAGAAATTAACAATATATTTGGAAATAATAGTATTATTATAAAATGTATTAACAGTATTATTTAAAAACAATAACATAGCAAAAATAATTAATACAGGGAGGCAAAAAAACGGGAACTTTTTCTCAATCCAATGAAACTGAAAGTGATGGAAGTAAAACATTTTATTCATAGTAAATAAAACCTTCAAATTTGTTAATTAGAAAATATTAATGGAATTTATCATTTTTTTAAAAATTATATCCTTTAAATGCCCTGTATGATTGCATTCGTGAAATCTACTGTTGAGATTCCTTTATTGACCGTTGTTTGTTTCTACTTCAGGGCAGATCCAGCTTGTTGCTGTCGTCGCAGGCTATTAAGGCAAAGCATTCTTGTTTTCCAGTGGCGCCATCTATTGACAACCTATGCCACACCCGTTTATAGGGTGGCCCCATTCATACATCCACAGATCAAAATTTTGACCTGATCCTATTTTTATCTAATTTTGACCCCAGGGGTATAATTTGTTACGAGAACATGAAATACTTTTTGACTTTACAGATTTAACGTTCACCAGTCACCATTTACTACACTGGGAGTCTTCGTCCGGTTGGATTCGAACTCCCGTTCTCACGAACGTGAGTCCAGCACCCTGCCAACCAGGCTATCACGGCCTGATCCAGCCTCTTCAAAATTATTAATCCAACTCTTTATCACGTGTTTTGATGAGACGGCACCATTGCGTCCTAAGTTGTAAAACTCCCTCTGCGCGGCTTCCAAACTATCACTGTTCTTATAAAAAATTTTATGACGAACGCACTCAGTTTCCTGTTCCACAGATCAATGGTTACTAAAATAGAAAAGTGTTTACTTCCTCAAGGTCATAACGCATTTCAAAACTTCCCGTTTTTTTTGTTGTTGTGTCATCCTGTATTTCTAACTAAAATGTTTTAAAAATTATTTTTTTAACTAGTACATACTAATCACGGAATAAATAAAATCACCGTTATCTTTGTTCAAGCTGAATATCCTAAAATTTTAAGGACAGATATCTAATGAAGTTAAATACTCAATGAAGATAAAATTGTTTAGATCAGAATATATTATCGAAAAAAATGTTTCTCTGGGCAAAACAAGTCTTTCATTTATATTGGTAAATACTAATTGCATGCACTGTAAAAATTGGATACTCGACTATCGCGAAACTTTCTTCGTTTCTGACGAAACCGTTTCCAGGTATGTGTTCTGAGCGAAAATTTCCCCAAAGGTACGAAATAACTATCGTCACTTCTTTGAGGAAGAGAATTTTGTCAAAATTAAAGAAATATTTCGTCATTGTATTTCCCCCCCCCAACCCCNAAAAAAAAAAAAAAAAAAAAAAAAAAAAAAAAGAAAAAGAAAAAAAAAAAAACTAATAGTGCCTAATATATCTAACTTTTTTAATAATCACTTTAACGTGGGCACCATATAGAAGGCACGACACGGCAAGGAGAGATATATGAATTACACTTATTTCTGAAGAGGGATTCTAACTCCGGATCTTCTCGGTGCAAGGCCAACTTCTTGACACCATACAATCCGGTCAGCATAATTCGTCAGTTTATTTTCAATTGTCTAGTCTTTATTCTAGTTAACAACCTCCCACAATGCACTACGAAGAGGTTTAGAATTAAGGAAACATTTTCGTCATACATTCAAAAGTTTACGTTTCGTCACAAATCACGTGACTTCGTGACGAAATGATTCTCAAAATTCTCGAAATACTGCTCAAGAATTGCTGAATCGTCAAAAAAGAGAGTTTTATTTCTGAGAGTATATTTTAAATGTTTTAAAAGCACTTAAAGTATTCAAAGAAACGTAAAACTAAATGGATCAATTTTCAAATTGTTTTACATACAGATAACGTAAAATTATAATTTAACATTACTTTTATCCATTTTTGGCACCATAATTTTATTTATTTATTAGTCTATTTTGAAATATAATTTGCCTTTCTTTGAATAAAACCTTTATCATTAATGAAACCAGACTTTTAAAAGAATCTTAACTTAAAGAACATAGTTATAAAAATATTTTCGGCTTAATGATTTATTAAAAATATCATTTGGTTTAAAACAGTGATTTTCTTAAAAAAATCGCAGTTAATTTCAATCAATGATTTTTGTTTAAAAAATCAAGTGATTTAAATCGCGATTTTCATCACGATTTAAATAATGCCAACCTTGCTAATGAATAATCATATTTTAAAACTATTTATTTTTTTAAATAATTGTACATTTATTTCTATATTTTTTTTATTTAGTTGCACAACATGCATACACCTTATTAAAAAGTTATGAAGCTAATCATCCTGAAAATTTAAAAACGGTATACGTTGTGAATGGTGAGTATAATGAAATTCACATAAATTTTTAAACGTTAATATGAACTACATTTTTATTATGTTTTAGAATGTGCATGTACATAAAAATATCTCTGGAATAGAAAAATTTAATTTTGGGGCTTGCCTATTACCATTCATGTCATTACTATTATCAGGCATAATTGCCAAATTAGAATTAGTGACTAGATTATTTTTACTCCGGGTGACTATGGAATTCATTTACTAACAATATTGTTTACTACAGATGATGTCATTTAAGCTGATGATTACTCTTAAAAACATAACTATTTACCTAGACAGTACAACATTGATATAACCAATATAGTATAAAATTCAACCATTACCAGAAAAATATAATATATATTTTGCCAATATTATGACAAATTTTAAAAATCAACCTTAAGAAAAATTTTATACCAAAAATCACAATCAAAGAATTTTATCATACTTAAAAGAATGGATTAATGAGTTGAATGACCTAATAATTACCACAAAATATATAAATAACATAAAATTGCTTAAAAACCATTAACGAAACCACAACATTACTACTAAATATTTCAAAATGTAATTTAACACCAAACCAGAAAAACAAAATTATCAAAAAAAACAATCATTAATTTTCAATTATATTATAACAATGGCTGCAGGGTATTAAATAATCAATGAGCTTTTTTCATTTAGCAATATAAAAGAGCAATACATTTTAGCAATCCATTTTATAAAATCAATAACCTATCAAAGAAATTATTCCAAAAAAAAGTATCATTTAAATTATCAAAATGTAGTCATGTATTCAACAAGTGAACCTTAAATTTAAAATAAAAAAAGTTAACACAATTTAAAATTATAACCATTATTTAAAATAATTGCTGTGAAATTCGTACTCAATTAACCCTAAAGAATAAAAATTCTTACTGTATCATTATATGAAAAAATTAGTTACCTACTCAGAAAAAAATTAATAGCCAAACTTACCAAATAATTGTATTAATCAATTACAGAAAATTATGAAAATTACTAAATTAATTTTAATTTTTTTCTATCCATTAATTTAAAATATTATCTCTGGTTGCTTACATAAAAATTAGTACATGACTAAAACAAATTAAATGGGTCGAAAAGAAAATTAACAAAATTTACAAAAAAAGTTAATTACATTGCATAATTTATTATACAATTGGTTATAATGTTAAAAATATACCCAAGAAAATTGGCTATTATTGTGAATCAAAACTGAAAACATATTGAATTCATGAACATATCGAATTTAATTGTATTTTGAATAACAGAACAATGAATAATAATCATATTAAAAAAATTTTAAATTTAAGTAAAAGGTTCCCTGATCATTAACAAAATTAAAACATAAAATACCAACCCAAAAAAACACTAACGGCACCAAGTGTGCTGTTACACTGGGTGGGTATTGAGAAAAACCAAAAGAATTTTAAATTTAACAAGAAAGCTAAAAGGTTAAATTCTAAAGAAAAACCTGACAAAAGTAAACTGTAAATATGGCACATGATCTATCAGTGTAAATACACATTAATAGACATTGATTAACCCAACAACACTGAAATAAAACAAAAAAAGCACATACCTATTATGTAGCTGATAGAGAGAGTAGGTCACATTTTTAAATCTAAAGAGACTAAGAGTTCACTAAAAAAGGAGTCACTTGTTAGGATGAATAAAGTTCGCTTTATTTCATATTAGCTCAATGGCGACATCAGAAAAAAATCACAGGCGGCATATCGGATGGAGAGTGTGGTGGTTAGGAGTGACTGGGAGTTTCGTGGTTTCAACTCAGACTGAACACAACACAGGAGTGGATGGGAATCAGATCTTCGCCAGAAAACATCAGAGCGGGGTCATGGGTACTGTACTGGACTTCACCGAAGATAAAAATCATGATTTGTAGCTCTAACTATGACAGCATCTGGTCAGCAGATAAGCTCAAGAGAGATTCAGCAGCGTTACCTCGAATGTCGACAAAATCTCGAATGCTCTCGAGCTTGATATGCTTGATATTAGTTGGAACTCAGTATTTGGCCCGAAGGGCCACCAACTGATTCATCGCTTCTAGTAGGTCGTAAACTATAAGTCCTGTATCCTATAAGAAATGGGATAAAAAGAAAATCACAGCGGTGAGCTGTGACATCAGGATAGATAAAATCCTGGGAGAAAATGAGTCCTTCATCAGTTTTGGGTCTCTGGAAGTAAGGAACGTAAAAGCTTAAGAAGCTCTTCGACCTTCAAAAGTTCCTTCATCTCCTTGAAGAGCTGTAAAAATCTGGTGGCGTTGTCGGTAGCTTTCTCGGGATGAGACTTCCTCGCTTTCCTGGGTCTTGCACCGCAGCCCGTAAAACAGGCTGGGTGCTCACCGTTGCAGTTGACGCAGGTGGCTGGGATTGTCCTGAGCTTTGTACACTGGTACGAGAAATGTACTCCGGCGCATTTCACGCAGGCGGGATTGGTTGCAGGGCAGTTTCGTTGCGTGTGTCCAAATTGTTGACAACGGTAGCACTGGATCTGGTATTTTCCTCCTCTGAAGCGCTCAACTCTAACTGGCTTCTCTAGTACTGATCTGATGTTAAAAATATTTCTAGAGGCACTGTTGTCCGGTTGGATGACCAGAAAAAGTAGGAGGGGCCTAAGCTCCTGACCACTCCTCCTTTTAAGTTGTACTATCTTCTCTGGTAGCAGTCCAAAGTTTTTGAGGTATTTTTCTAATTCCTGAGAATCTGTATCTATTTTTAGTCCTCTGATAAGGGTTTTCAGCTTTTAAGGAAAAGTGTCCATATTTGCGGTGGGAGTAGCTATGGTTACTGCCGAAGCGGCAGTCTCCTCAAGCTCTGCCGGTACTGGGTCAGATGGAGTAGTTGTTTTAGTCTCCGGCTGGGGTAGGGGAATCTGAAGGAGAGCAGTTGTCTTGGATCGTGGGAGTAGACTCGATAGGCTTGACTTTGGCTTTCTTCTTCTTCTTTTTGGCTGGAGGTTCTGTAGTGTTTTCAGTATCGGAGGCAGTGCCCCCGGCACTAAGTTCCATTTTATCAGCCGCTGGGGTGGGATTGGGCTCAAGGACTCGAGTGATGCTATCTTGAGTTGTCTCGGGTTCCTCTTTTTCCTTCTGTCCAGGCAATGGATATTCCTTTCGGAGTTCGTGATAGTGTCTGCTGGCAACTCTAATGGCACATAGTATTCCTTTAAATTCGTTGTAGATTATACCATATGCACATTTCTTAAGAAATTCAGTGAATAAGTCCTTTGTAGAGTTCACCTCTTCCAAGCTAAATTGCATGTAGAAACCTACGGTATCGATTTGGTTAACAGGTATGTATCTCCGAGGAATCTTACTAAATGCAATGGCTACCAGGCTACCTCAGAGGATGGGTACTCAAAAACCTCGATGTATTCTCCATCCGAGTCGTCCGGTTTAGGTGATTGCGGGCGGCTAGGCGGAAACACCTTTCCGCCGCGAGCGGTTCTGTTGTAAGGCATAATAGCGGAGCCAGATAAAACACGTGTTGTCTCGATCACGGTTGAACGAATCTCTGGGGTCAAAAATCTGCTCTCGAGCGATGTGTGATCTGAATAGGTGGGATCTCGGCATTTGGCGCGAAGCGCCACTTACAGATTCATCGAAATTGATTTGGCATAAAATTGGGTAGGCATAAGTTAAATAAACAATTTAGATAAAAGGGTAAAAGTAGGAGAAATCTCCATTGTCAAGAACTAAAATATTTAAATGAGTTATGCACATAATGAGACGAGCACTAAGTTTATAATCAGTTATATAATAATACAGCAATAGTGTTATATTTACAGAATAATTATATTTACATATATATACAAAGATTAGAAAATTTACAAGTAGTGGATTAGATATGTACAATATTAGTGGACCTCTGTTAGTATAGTGACCCGGCCGTCCCGGTATTCACCGCTCGTGCCGGGTTGCTCACTATTCTGGATATTATCGGAAGTGTGACTCCCCCAGATCGGACCCTGCGAAAGGGTTGCTCCTTCATTAGGGTTGTCACATGCCGGTGTTTAAGCTGTGTGTGTGTAATGATATGTGATCATTGAGTCTGGTTGTAATATTTAGATATTAAGCAGTCTGAGGTTAGAAATGCAGTGAGAGGGCTGATGCTTGCGTTATCCCTAATAATTTCTAAGTCAAAAATTTTATTAAAGTTTGAAGCGTTGCAATCTTTTGCTTCCTTATAGAATTTGGCGTTTATTTTAGCCATGTATTGGTTAATATCGTCGATTCTTAGGTCTTTTTTAATAGAGTTGTTGCTGATCGCCCGTGGGGCTCCCAACATAGTTCTTAATAATTTACCTTCAAAATTTGAGATCTGCTCTCGAGCGTCGGGCGCTCAGCTATTTATACAAAAATGCTTAAAGTCAAAGTGAAATTTCTTAACCATTGGAAGTTTAGTTGTCATATCAATTATTTCTTCAGTGTCATTCTCACCTTCTGATGGAACTTGCGGGCGTTACGGTTATGCTTACTCTCACACTCGTAGCCTTCACGTGGACATGAAAGATACCGCGGGCCAGGTGTTTTTCTAAGAAAAAGGGTAGGGAAAGGAATTTCCAGGGGAGAATGTCCTAATTGCGCTAAGGCATTAAGGGGCGAATATGGATTGGATCAGTATTGTTAAGAAATGGATCAGGATTTAAATTCGATTGTGACTCGATGTCACACAGGTATTACATTAGTATATTGTAATAATTAGACCAAATTATTAGACGCACTGCAGTGTTTTAATAATTACTTGTTTTGCACGAGTTTATATGCAATACTTTTATATTAAAACATATATGTAATGGGTTTTTATTCAGGGGATTTTTAATATACTTCCTATTTGCATTTATTTTTAACTTATTGCATTACAATGTTAACCAACTGATACCCGAACATAAACAAGTGTAAACCGGTTTCAGCCGCGTAAAAACAATTACGCTGCATAGTATCACCTGATAATTAAGATTTTACATAGAATCTTATGGTGCGGCTAAAAATTTAGCCACGGACTGTAGATTCAACTTTTAATCCAATTATTTTTGTTCTTAAAGCTGGTATATATTTTTTCAGCTCCATCATTTTTTAACTTCATTTGGAGCTGGTGCAAAACTGTTTTGCCTGAATCAATATTATCAAAGGTGGAAATTTTATCGCCAGGTAATAATATTTTAATTTGTACTTCATGAAACATTAAAAAAAAAACTTTTTTAAATGGACTAATGTGCGCTAAGAGTGTGGTGCATTAATGATAATTCTGTAATGTTTCGTGTTAAATTATGCATGTATCTAAAAATTATAATAAATAGCTTCAAAAGGTCTACACAAGCTATGAACACTGCAACTTTGCAGGAGGGAAGCAGGAATCTTGAAAAATTGTAAGCGTTAAATTTGTTATTGCGCAAAAATTCATTGCTAAAGATCGTGCCTAGAGCTTTCAGCAAAGAACCTGTAAGATATTTAAAATTTGCACTAACTATAATAAGTGATGGAAATTTGAGAGTTAATTCCTTTAAAAGAGTGATAGTACATTAGTTGACGGTTGACCACCAACAGTAATATGATGTCAGTTGTAAACTATCACTAACCATAATAAAATTAACCATGATAAATAACCATTTAAATTGGCGATCGCAACGCTCGAATACGCCATCTGGGGAGATACCGGTTTCATGCCTTTAGCCCTTCCCTCTCCTCCTCTTTTCATTTGTATAGGAATGTACTACGATATTTTCCCTTTTCTTAATATTTTTCTTTTTTATTTAATAAAAATATTTTTTAAAGTATCCGTGATACTTTTCTTTAGAACTATGTTTAATGTAGTTTTCTGTTCCGTACAGTTTTCCAACTTAAAAGAATTTACTCTATATGAAAATCAAGAGAGAAACTGGCGTACTTCCTTCCTCTATGACTTTCCACACGCTAATGGGGAAAGTACGTGAAGTGTTGCCATAGGTAGAGGGTTCTGCTCTACGCCACCTGCAGCCCATTTCGATCGCCAATACAACGTTTTGTAAAATAGTTTAGTACAGTAAAAATGATTATGAAAATGAATGTTTTGACAGAAAAAGAGATTAATTATCAGTGAAAAGCATACGTTGTTTCTATCTGGAAAGAAACAAAGCTTTCAAACAATTTTTTTTGTATACAAGATTGCTCAAAATTTTAATTGAATATATTTATTTTAAAATGTACAAACCGTTTTAAAGACATTTTTTCTTTATGGATGGTGTTTTCAATAGAAATGTAAACAATAACAATCTCGAGCTCGGCACCTACTCTAGTTCCGGTTAAAAAGTTTGCAACTGCTTACTACATGTTATTCTGCGAGGCGATATTTTCAAACGGATAATTTTGTTTATAATAAAAGAAATAAATTAGATAATTTCTGAGCTCAAATCTGCCATATTTCATAAGATATTAATGTTAATATGTAATGCTGGTGAGTTTGAAGTGAAAATTTGTTTTAGTTTTTAAGAGATATTTTGTTAAAAAAGGTGACAAGGTTGCTAGATTTTGAATAACTCGCTTTTTTGGAGGTCTTGATATGGCCTCTTTCCATAAGTTTATTACTGTTTGTTCTTGTTGCAAGCTGTGCACCATCTTACGTTAGTGTTAACACTTTTAGCATTGTAAACACAAGTAATCAAATACATTGTTTGCAAGAATCTCAAAACACAATGATGCCAAATGGCTTTAAAATACAACGGAAACAGTAACCCGGAAATTTAGGCGGTACCGAGCTTTCAGCGTTCCCTAGTGTAGAAAACACCATCCATATATTTCCTAATACCAGAGAGATTAATGTTATTGTTAATTTTAAATTTTGAAATCCGGATAAATCGATCGAACTGTACTGTATCGGTTTGTACTGTATAGTAAAAAAGAATTAGAGATGAATAATAAAGAATAGAATAGAATAAAAAAAATTTAAATTCCTGCACCATTTTCAAATTGCCAAATTTTCCTTTCTCAGAAGAAAGTTTTTCCAAGTGGTATTAAGATGACAATTGTACTACGATCATAAGCAAACATATTTTAGAATTGCATCTGGGTTTAAATTCATCAACCTATGATGCATTTATATCGATGTTTAAATTATTTACATATATATTGGTGGTGATAATCCTTTTATATTAAATTTATAAATCTATGAAGAAAATAAAAAACATTAGTTTTTTTTTACCATTTTAAATATCCAAATAAAATTTCGAGAAAAATCTAAAAGAAAATACAACTACGATTTAATAATCAGGCTTTCACTTGCTAAGTTACAATCTTTGTAGGTCAAAATATTTATTTTCAAAACTTAACTTTTTCTAAATAATTAACATACGTTTGTGCAGAGTGTCCCAAAAATGACAATCAAATTGAAAAATCAATTACAGGAGAATAAAAGAGATGGAAATGCACAGTTTTCTGCATTCTGCTGAGTAAACCAGAATCTATTCTCACCAAGTTTCAAAATTAGTTATAAATTCAACAACAAGTGGCAAAAGCAACTGAGATGAGTATAAAACAATGTTTTAAAAATAACCACCATTTGTAACAGTGATATGGTGCAGTCCAAGGACAAAATTAACAGGCGACCCTTCTCATATTTCTGTTGGAATGATCTGACATACAGCAAAAGTTTTTTAGTTAGCACTTTGAAATGAATTTCGAAAATTGATGAGAGTAAATATGTTCCTTTCCAAAGCAAAAATAATGTAGAAAATCGCAAATGTCTGTATCCATTTGTTTTTATTTTATTGATTTCTCAAATCCTTGATTTACTTTGAGAAGTTCGGTAACTCTCTTAGTTATGTACTAAAATCCCCATTATTCTTATCTTTGAGTTATTAAATACAATTACTTTTTAGAGGATGTCAAACCAGTTATTACAAAAAATATTGATCCAGCCATACTGCCTGTATCTGTTGGCGGAACAAAAACTGATGAAGATGGAAATCTTGAGTGTGCATCAATGGTGAAAATTATATTAATTTTTTGTGCCTTATTTGTAATTTAAAAAAAGAGTTCTTAATCTTAAAAAATACCAGACTAATGTTTAAATTATGATATCTTAAAATTACTAGAAAAAGTGAATGAAAAAAGTAACAATGAATTCCATAATCTCATGAATAATTCGCAATTTTTAGTAGTAATGTCATAAGGTAATACATGTTATTTGGTTTGTGATTACAAAAATAAGTTGACGTGAACCGATCCAATCAAAAAGTACTTACTATCTTAAGAAAAAACGAAGAGCGTTAAAACAACCTGTATTTACTTATTAACCCCATTTTATTTACTTACTTTTAAAGTAAAAATCGTTTTGTGCTAGCAAAAGCAGAAATCAACTCTCAAAAACTATAAAAATGCCAGAAAAATAAAAAGCCTTTCAGGTTATAAATATTTTTTAAAGAGAAATAGAGCTAATTAGAGTAATTTTTGGGAGCTCGATTGAAAAAGAGTTAGAGTTTATAGCATAGTTTTTGGAAAATCTGGTCATGTAAAAAGACAAAAAATTATGGATCTTGAGTGCTGTAGCATCTGGATATGCAGTGGAAAAGTCTAAAGCTGGCCATTAATATAATTACTGCGAATTTTGGAAAGAAAAATGCTTAAACTCCTTGTCACATTTTTTTTTATGCATGCATTAAAAAATTTTTACTTTAAAATTCAGCTCTCAAACTCTTACGCTGGCCTTGAATGGTAGTATAATATAATGCATATATCTTTTCTAAAATTTAATTACCTCTTTCATAGAAGTTTCATTGTGTATCCCAAAAATAAATCCTAATCAAAAATATGATTTAATTCAGAAAAAACTTTAATTTTAACTGAGGGCATTGTACCTAAATTCACAAAGAAAATACAATAGAACTTCGATTTAACGATGCTTATTAGAATGAACAAAAACTTCATAAATAAAGGAACGTTGCTAAAGAGGGGAATTTAAAAGCATACAAATTTCATTCTATTTTGTTAAATACCCCAATACAATCTGAAACTTAAATGTAATTTATTTAGATAAGAAGAAAAATTTAATTATTTCAATAAAAAATCTGATATTTTGTTGCTTTTGTCTTAAAATACACAATGAATTTTCTAACAATTAGAAGACATCCACTTCTCTTTTTCTTCTTGTCTTTGGAAGAAACTTTTCAGCCTCCTTAATGCTGCTACATTAAATGAGAAGTGGATCTGAAGATTCAGTTTTTTTTCCATCACTACTAGACTCTATAATTTTAGCTATTGAAGTAGCATCTGATTCGCAAGTCATCAGATCGTTATCACATTGCGAATACTCCAAGTCGCTATCAGGCGTGGCATTCTGTTCTGAAATTCTGTCCTCGGTCGTAACTGATGCAAAGCTACCTTTTTTTAAAACTTCGGTAGTTCAGGGAAATAGAAGTTGCTCTAAATACCGGGATTTTTTTTTTAGATTTTTGATTTAGGAAATGAGAGGAACCAAGCTGAAAACACGTTAAAAGCGAGAAATTGTTAGTCATGGATGACATTAAATCAGACCAGACTACAGCTGTAGTAGGCGGACAACTCAACAATTATGAGAAGCTTAAATAAATATTATTTGATTATTTAAACTAATGCTTCAGACTTTTAGTATGTTAAAACAATGTTTCAACGGCATTTTCAACTTCTTTTTGTCAAAATTGCCTTTTAATTATGATGCACAATGTAAGTTTTTGAACGCACATAGTAAATTAACTTGGCATAGGACGCTCTAAAACATTGCACTTAAGTCTACTTGTTAATTTTTGAAAGTGGAATTAAAAAGCTAAGACTCGATAATTTTTTATTTATTTAAAAAAAAAAATACAAAAATGACATGTGTTAGAATAAGAAGTGTTTCTTTTTCACGTAAAAAAGAAACGAAGCTTACAAAAGGATTTTATGCTACATGTAGAGAAAACAAAAATCATCGAATTTTGTAAAAACGAAATTAAAACCAAGTAAATGTCACGGTGTATATTTTTTATTACAATATAAAAATGACAAAAGAACAATTTTGAAAAAGGTTTATGATTCAATATAAACTAATTACAATCCGAAACAGTTCATCATATTACAAAAGTGTGCTTTGTAGGGCTGATATTCCGCTTGCAACCAAAATATAAATCAAAGATTAATATTTCCTGTAAGAGTTTAAAACAATAATGTAGTTCAAATGTAGCTAAGATAAAAAGAAAGAGTTAAACTGCTTTCAATGATTGTAAACACAATTTCATTGAAAATAAAGTAATAAAAGTGGACATACTAGTCCTACTATCATTAAAGTAATACATTAACATTACTCAATTTTTAATATACAAACTCATTATTTTTTTCCAGTACCAAATGCCTTTGTATGTGCCAGTCCCTGAAAATCTAATGCTATATCAAAAACTTGGCGTTCTTGAAAATGATCCTGCTGCTAAGCGAACTGTTGTGGAATGTGGGTGTGCTTGTAGAATAAGACTTGTAGTAAAAGAGCCAAATTCTCTTATTCAATGGGATTTCCAGACTATAGGCTATGATATTCGTTTTGGTCTTTGTTTTAGAGAAAATGAAACAGCAGAAATAACTGAAATAATAACACCACACAGAGTTGACTGTCACATGTATCCAGAATCAGGAACTTTCTCTTGTATCAATGCAGGTTTTTGTAAGTAACCATCCACTTGAATTGTTTTTCAATCACTTAACATAAAAATCTCTTAAGAAGAAATAATAAATTCCTGTCAGTAAAATGATTTTTTTTTACCTCTGGGATAATCTTTTGACTCCACCTCCTTTAGGGTTAACACAAGTGATTGAGAAAATAAAAAAGGCTGTAAAATGAATATTATTTCAGACAATAACCACTAGGCTAAAATTTATGTCTGATATTTATTAAAAATTAGTCTGTTTAGTATTTTATCAAAACCCTAAATAAAAAAATCTGAATGGATGGGGATTTCAATAAAGAAACAATAAAAACAACAACATAAATAAAGGAGCAATAGTTTCAGTACACTAATCATTATAAGCTTATTGTTGCTTATTTTACGAGCCAATATTTTTGAGCACTTTATTATTATGAAAACATAAAAATAAATAAGAGTAGATATAAACTCACTTTTTTGTGATTCTCATAAGATAACTACTATCCTGTCATCTGATTCCAGTAAATATTAAGCAAATATCATTTAGAATAATTTAGATTTTGAGTTTTAAAGAAATAAAATACATGTTTGCCGAATTTTTAAGGAAATCACAAATTTTTCAACCTTGATTTAGATTTTTTAAATTAAGTTTTGGATTGTTGTATTACTGTGAACAGTATAGCTAGCTTTGATATTGCTAATATGAACATGAGCATATTTGCACAGCAATAAACAGGACAATCACGTTTTTAAATTGAATTAGCATTTTTGATATTGCTAATACGTACATGACCATACTTGCAGAGCAATAAACAACAAGTCGACAAGAGTCACCATACACTAGCCAAATGATGCCAGACTAGATACAGATACAATAATCCAGGGGTTTGCTGAGTACAGTATCCTCTCCTGAATAAATCATTATCCATTGGAGTGTTTATTGAAACACCTCGAGAGAACTACACTCTTCATCAACGCAACCCCGATTTTTGTTCCGTCTTTCGAAGCGAACTAATTGCAATCGACAGGTGACTAGAGAAAATCTTGAGTGAATGGCACTTTGGAAATACTTGGATACTATCTGACAGCTGTAGTTCAATTCAACATCTCAAAAATTGGGCCCTCATTGGAGATAAAACCAGTTTTTCGATCTTACAAAAAGTAAAGCTCATTTCCCAGCAGCATGAAGTCCACTTTCAATGGATCCCATTCCACGTCGATATCCACGGAAACGAATTGGCTGACACTCCTGCAAAGAAGGGACTAGACCAGTGGTTCCCAACCTTTTATGGACCATCGCCCCCCTCTTGGGGTTGGCTGACACATATCGCCCCTTTCTCTTTTTGCTCAAAAAACCATTCATTGTTGCTTGTTAGCAACCAAACACTGAAAATATGCTATGTTATTTGATTTTAATTTAAATTGTAATGCAAATAAGGAGGCACATTTATCCTGTCATTTTTATTAATTAAAAAAAATTGTGCATCTTTTTATTTTCAAAAAGAAATGATATTTAAAACGGAATAATCAAAATAAAACTACATTTTTTTAAATTCATATTTTAATGTAATCAAGAAAAAGTTGAAACGTTAACAACTAAAATTTGAGAAAAAAAATGAAGAGGGAGAAAGTACATTTTTACCACTTCAATGACTGCCCTGTGCTTGATGTATTTCAAGTTAAAGCTTGCATGTCAAGTTTTATGCTCGTCAGATTTAAACGCGGTTCTCCTTTGAAGCAAATGTCCAACCTTGCTTTGTGAGCAGGTGGAAGACAGAACTAAATCCTCTCTCCACTAAATATGTTGACGGGAACGAGCTAACTCGTAACCGTATTTTTTAAAGACGACTTTAGCCTCACAGTCATACTTCAAATCTAAAAACTCAGTCTACAAAGAGGAAGTGAGCTTATCCACAACTTCAAAAGAGAAAGAATCGAAAATCCAATCCGGAATTTCTAATTTTATCAAATCTTTAAATCTTGATTCCATAACTGATCAAGGTGATCAGTAAAAATTAAGATTTTATATTCGAGAATCTCGATATCTACCATTGAACGCTTTTTAACAGTTGGAAAGCATTAGCTCTTTGCGACCAATGTTTGACTTGTAGATATCAAACTTGGCGATGAATGAAGATATGATTCCCTTAGCCTTGATAATGTTCATTTTATTTCCTTGAAGTTTTACGTTGATTTCATTCATTTTTTCAAAACTATGAGTGAGGTACGCAGTTTCCAACTTGGGTTGCTTCAAACTCTCACTTAAAACAGGATCAGTGGTGTCGAGAAACTCAGTAACCGAAACCAGCAATTCGAAGAAACGGCTCAGTTTCCTTTTGAAAGCCATCTCACAGCTGTATGTAGGAGCAGGAATTCGAAATCTTCATCATTTTCATGGCAAAGTTCTCGGAACAAACGGTTATTAGGAGAATTAGCTTTTATTTTATTGATGCCAGAAATAACCAATTTTTCGCAGCCAAAAGTTGACGATGAATGACATAATGAATGGTGAGATAACTTCCGGTACTTCTTTTTTAAGGTGACCCAGAAACCCAGTATGACAACCAGACATGGTTGGAGCACCATCTGTTGCACAAGCACTTACATTTGTGAGGGGAATTTCTTTTACTTCAAAATAATCTTTGACCAATTTAAAAATCGACGATTCTTTTGTATCTGTGTTCAAAGTTCTTGTAAACAATATTTCCTCGTTAATCTCCTTATTCTCATTTATGAATCTCACGTAAGCTAAAACAGCTTTGTTATCTATCACAGTTGATTCATCAATCTGCAACGCAAATTTACCTTCTTTCAGAAATTTTATGAGTTTTGATTCAACGTCGGCCGCCATCTCATTAATACGCCTGGAAACAGTATTATTGCTCAGAGGAACAGAGTGAATTATCAGATTTCCGCCTGCGATACCAAAACGTATGACGAAAACGATCCTGCAATTGAATTTTTTTCAATTTTCAACTATCATAATTCTTTGTCTACACCAGAACCATAGGTTTCATATATATTTTCAATTTCAATCTCAAATAGCTTTTATTATTATTATAAGCAATTTTTTTTCTTTTGAATACTCGTCGCCCCCAGGTTGGGAACCACTGGACTAGACCATCCAGTATCCAGTCCCCTTCACCCCAGAGCTTACATACCTTGAACTTTTCGCAAGGCAAAAGGACAAGAACAAAAAAAAGTGGCTGCTTCCACCTATTCACTACTGGTATAAAGCAAAAAGACCAGGACTCAATCTCTTCCTGGTGACAGGCAGACCAAAACTTGCTTATCCCGACTGGCCAGTGGACTCCTGAAAAGTCTCACATTTTCTGCTAAACAAAAGATATTTTCCCTAAATGCCAACAAAACCAGGCATCATCTGAGCACATCTTGAACTGTTTAGGGCTGGACTGGAACGACATTCATTCCTCTCCCTTTTTAGTTTTGGACTTCCTAAATGTCAACGGATTTATTGATCTGGTCTGACTCCAGATGGGAATTAGCATTAACAACAACTTGAATTGGAATGTGCTTTAAGGCAGCAAGCTTTTTTAAAGCAAATTACTCTAAGTAAAACAAGGTCTGAGCCACATTGGCTACTGAGCAAATTGTGTGATAAGAAGTGTTCATCTATTAATTTCAGTTATGTTGCGATTTTCGAAATGTTTCGCCTTTGAAATCCACATAATGGACAGTCCTGATTGCATTTTTTCGACATTTTTTTTTTTATTGCTGTCTTTTTAAGAGAAAAAGTCATTTTTGTTTTTGCGTCGAATACAAGTATAAGGCAATTTTTCTTATTTGTAAAGGGAGCATAGCAATAATGAAAAAATAAAATATCAAGGGACATTGTAAACACAGCTCAATATATTCTAAATGAGGCGGACATTTTAGTCTTGACAACTAATGAATTAAAAGAAAAACTACTTTGCCAACAAACATTTTTCAGGGTGGCCGCTTAAATTTGGTTCAAATTTCCCCAATTTTTCCACGTGAAAATCTTAAAATTTTCAGGTCACGGTGTTTCTTTTTTCCTCAGAAAGTATAGGATGAGTATTTAACCCCCCCCCAAGAAAAGTGTCAATATTCTAAAGTATTTTATTTAAAATATAATCTTTTTAATTTATAATCTTGAAAAAAATAATTATTTTAGATTTGTTTTAACAACTAGCAAGATTTTGTTCTTCCTTTTTCAAAATTTTAATATTTGGGTACAACATTAATTTTTAAAAAATTAAGATAGATCTGGAGAAAATAATATGTTAAGCTTGTAGAATATATTGTTTTATTGAATAAAATGTTTCAATGTAAATAAGTCAAGTAGTTTTTGCACAGTGTACCAAATATCAAACACAGAGTGACCTTGGACAAGTATTGTTTATATACAGGGTGGTCCCGAATTCATGGTACAAACTTTAATGGTAGGTACAAGACATTGCAACAATGATTTATTGTATAGGAATGTATAGTCGCAAGTGACGCGGTGAGGCGTAAACAGGAGAAATAACGGCCGAAAGGAAAAACAAAGATTTTATTGAAAGCGTTGTTGACAAGTGTCATGTTTACAGTAAGTGTTCAAAATTGCGTCCACCAGAAGCGATACATGCTTGACAGCGTCGGTGGAGCGATTGGCGTACACGTTCAAAGATGCCTGGTATTTCACGCACACCTGCAGCAGCTACAGATATGCGAGCGACGAGATCCTCATCTGAGTCAACTGGAGTCTCATAAACAAGATGCTTTAGATGTCCCCATAAAAAGTAATCGAGGCTCGATAAATCGGGAGATCGGGGTGGCCAAGGGATTGGTCCACCACGCCCAATCCATCGAGCACCAAACGTGGCATTCAGGTAATTCCGTACATCAATGCTGAAGTGTGCTGGCGCCCCATCGTGCTGAAACCACATGCGGTTACGAATGGCGATCGGAACATCATGCAGCAGTTGTGGTAACACTTCTTTCAGAAAAATAAGATAGCTTCCGCCACTGAGTCGCGTGGGTAGTAAGTATGGGCCAA